TACACCGTGCCCAGAGTATATACATTCCCCAGGGAGATATTAGGTCTAATAATAACGATCCCAAATGGGTTAACAGTAGGTTAAAGCATCTATTAGGGGAGAAAAGGGGAATTTATAGGCGCATCAGAAGAGGAGAGGTTAACCTTACTGACCAATATGTTCAGCTTAAAAGAGAAGTAAAAAGGGGGATTAGAAAGGCTAAACGTGACAATGAAATTAGAGTTGCTAGTGAATCAAAGACTAATTCAAAGGGGTTCTTTCAAGTGTATAGGACGAAGGTGAAGGAAAAAGTAGGACCTCTGAAAATTGGGAATGGACAGCTGACGGATAATGAACTGGAAATGTGTTCCTTATTTAATGACTATTTTTTTGTCAGTTTTCACACAGGAAGATGTAAATGAGATTCCAGTAATTAACAATTATTTAGTTCCTGATGAATTTAAATTAACTAATATTACTGTCACGAGGGACATGGTTATTAAACAGATAGACAAACTGAAGCAAAATAAGTCCCCGGGACCCGATGAGTTGTTTTCCAGGGTACTTAAGGAATGCAAGATGGCGCTTAGTCAGCCATTAACGAGTGTGTTTAATGCGTCCATCCTTACCGGTGTTGTGCCAGAGTTGTGGAAGATGGCTAATGTGGTTCCTATATTCAAATCAGGGGATAAGTCCACTCCTTCAAATTACCGTCCAATAAGCCTGACATCTACAGTGGGCAAGTTATTAGAATCAATTATAGCTGACATTATTAGAAGTCACCTTGAAGAGCATAACTTGATAAATGAATCTCAGCATGGATTCACGAGAGGTCGTTCCTGATTACGAAATCGTAATGACACGATTGCAAACAAACCATACTCCGGCCGGGATTGAACCCGCGGTCAGAGAGTCTCAAAACTCCTGCCTGACAAACTTGCTGACGCTCTTCAAAAGAACATTTGAGGCAGTTGACAGTGATAAGGAATATGATATTGTTTATTTGGATTTTAGTAAAGCCTTCGATAGAGTACCTCACAGGAGACTCTTGAAAAAAGTGGCAGCTCATGGTATAGGAGGTAAAGTTCTAGCATGGATAGAGGCATGGCTTACCAATAGAAAGCAGAGAGTTACCATTAATGGAGTGAAATCTGAATGGGGATTAGTCACTAGTGGCGTTCCACAAGGATCAGTCTTAGGCCCTCTCTTGTTCATAATTTACATTAATGACCTTGATGAAGGGATTACGAGCGACATGAGTAAGTTTGCTGATGATACAAAGATAGGCCGTATAATTCACTCTGAGGAGGATAACAATGAACTCCAGGACGATTTGGACAAATTAATGTCCTGGTCTGAAAAATGGCAGATGAAGTTCAATGTGGATAAGTGTAAGGTACTTGCCCTTGGTAATGAAAATTACCCTCGAAGCTATAATCTAGGTGAAGTAGAGCTTGATCATGCAGAATGTGAAAAGGACTTGGGAGTCATGGTGAGCAGAAATCTAAAGCCAAGGCAGCAGTGCCTTAGTGTGCGCAACAAGGCCAACAGATTACTTGGATTTATCTCAAAAAGTATAAGTAACAGAAGTCCAAAAGTTATTTTACAGCTATATACATCACTAGTGAGGCCTCATTTAGATTATGCTGCTCAGTTTTGGTCCCCTTACTACAGGATGGACATAGACTCATTAGAGAGCATACAGAGAAGAATGACTAAAATGATTTACTGTGTAAGGAACCTCCCGTATGAAGATAGACTTAAAGCCTTAAATCTCCACTCTCTGGAGAGGCGTAGAATGAGGGGAGATATCATTGAAGTGTATAAGTGGATGACGGGCATAAACAAGGGAGATATTAATAAAGTACTGAGGGTGTCGAACCAGGTAAGAACCAGGAATAATGGATTTAAGTTGGATAAATTTAGATTTAGAAAGGACATAGGTAAGTACTGGTTTTCTAGCAGAGTTGTAGATGCGTGGAACAGTCTTCCCAGTGGGGTGATAGAGGCTAGGACCTTGGGTAGCTTTAAGAAGAGACTGGACAAATATATGAGTGGAAGGGGCTGGGTTTGATTGGTGTCATTGGGTACGGGAGTTATTTCTTGGGAAGCTTTAGGTAGTAGTCGTTTTGATAAGGACCTGCCTCGCATGGGTCAGTAGGCCTTCTGCAGTGTTCATCCATTCTTATGTTCTTATGTTCTAATAAACAATAGATTGTAAACATCGTGCCGCGCGAAATGTGTCCCATTGTGGGGGGAAAAAGTAAGAAAAATGAGAATTGATTGGGTGATATCGAGGATAAATTTTTTTTTTATTAAGGGGGGGGAGTGATCTATTAGGGTGATAGCTAAGGGTGATAGCGAGGGGGGCGCCCACCTCTTGCTTCTATATCAAGGCTATAAATCCCAATCTATCTGTGCTATGTTGACAGTTTACATTTACGTGGAAAACAGGACACACATGCATGCACTTACGACGTCTTCACTGGATACATTTCGGTCCTGGAACCTTGGTTACTCTTCGGTCCCAGGACGGAAACGTATCATCCATTTTGTAAGTATAAATTTATCTTCTACCTTCATGTCGTTAGTCAGGTGACATGGAAGAAGGAAAACTTACAGGAATTAAATAGGTTACCGAGATATAGTTACGGGAATACATACAATTATCGTAGATTTGATCTGACTCCTTTAAGAAGATCTGACTCCTTTAAGAAGATCTGACTCCTTTAAGAAGATCTGACTCCTTTAAGAAGATCTGACTCCTTTAAGAAGATCTGACTCCTTCAAGAAGATCTGACTCCTTTAAGAAGATCTGACTCCTTTAAGAAGATCTGACTCCTTGAAGAAGATCTGACTCCTTCAAGAAGATCTGACTCCTTTAAGAAGATCTGACTCCTTTAAGAAGATCTGACTCCTTCAAGAAGATCTGACTCCTTCAAGAAGATCTGACTCATTTAAAAAGATCTGACTCCTTTAAGAAGATCTGACTCCTTCAAGAAGATCTGACTCCTTTAAGAAGATCTGACTCCTTCAAGAAGATCTGACTCCTTTAAGAAGATCTGACTCCTTTAAAAAGATCTGACTCCTTTAAGAAGATCTGATTCCTTCAAGAAGATCTGACTCCTTTAAGAAGATCTGACTCCTTTAAGAAGATCTGACTCCTTCAAGAAGATATGACTCCTTTAAGAAGATCTGACTCCTTTAAGAAGATCTGACTCCTTTAAAAAGATCTGACTCCTTTAAGAAGATCTGACTCCTTCAAGAAGATCTGAAGATCTGACTCCTTCAAGAAGATCTGAAGATCTGACTCCTTCAAGAAGATCTGACTCCTTTAAGAAGATCTGAAGATCTGACTCCTTCAAGAAGATCTGACTCCTTCAAGAAGATCTGACTCCTTCAAGAAGATCTGACTCCTTTAAGAAGATCTGACTCCTTTAAGAAGATCTGACTCCTTTAAGAAGATCTGACTCCTTTAAGAAGATCTGACTCCTTTAAGAAGATCTGACTCCTTTAAGAAGATCTGACTCCTTCAAGAAGATCTGATTCCTTTAAGAAGATCTGACTCCTTCAAGAAGATCTGACTCCTTTAAAAAGATCTGACTCCTTTAAGAAGATCTGACTCCTTCAAGAAGATCTGACTCCTTCTAGAAGATCTGATTCCTTTAAGAAGATCTGACTCCTTTAAAAAGATCTGACTCCTTTAAGAAGATCTGACTCCTTTAAGAAGATCTGACTCCTCCAAGAAGATCTGACTCCTTTAAGAAGATCTGACTCCTTTAAAAAAATCTGACTCCTTCAAGAAGATCTGACTCCTTTAAGAAGATCTGACTCCTTTAAAAAGATCCCAGAGCTAGAGAGAGAAGTTTTTAACTTAACATTTTTGCAAATAAGAAAAAGAAATTTGGACTTTCAATTTCACTGACTTTCTTTTTTTTTTCCTGTCACTCGTGGACTTCGTACAATCCATTTAATTTTTGAGCAATGTTTCCTATTTTTCTAACTAATATATATCTTTGAAAAAAAAAAATCTGAAGCTTGTGAGAAGTTCTACAGTTCTCTGTAGGGAGATAGGGTGAGTCTCCCTATCTAGCGAGGGAGAATCTCCCTATCTATGTAGCATTCAATTTTGTCTTAATAATGGGAGTCGGAGGCATCTTTCAAGATTCATTTCATCCACTATGATCATCACAGGTCAAGGATTCTTTAATCTCTAACGAAGGACTCAAAGTAAATCGTAGTGTTTATAAGCATTGAGATATACACATCTGGGTGTATATATTATTGTTAATGAACACTCGTTAACTGCTTGCTTAATTTAGTGTACAACTTATCAACTACACGATGGGTCATTACGGCTGCATGTGGCCTGTTTGCCTGCGGTTAGGAATTAGAGTAAATTCTCAACATATAGAAATTTACACCTTTCGGTTTATATAAGCTGCTAAACAATGGTTAAGGTCATTAACGTTGCATGTCACCTATTTATTACTAATAAAAAATATTTTAACTTGACTCACGAAATCGTAATGACACGATTGCAAACAAACCATACTACGGGTGGGGTTAGAACCCGAGATCAGAGAGTCACAAAACTCGCAGACCGACACGTTGGCCAGCTAGCTGGTCCAGTGGCTAACGCGTCGGTTTGGAGTTTTGTGACTATCTTATTGCGGGTTCTAACCCCACCCTATTGTAATTTAGGTTACCTCTACGCATATACACATTGAAACATGTATCCCTCTTGCACTTGCACATCAAAAGAGGCTGGTTCACTGGTTAATGGGGCTTAAAGCTTATCAAGTATACGAGGGTCTTAATTTAAGGGTGCACATGACCTTGACACAATCAGACAAAAAACATTGATGGGCCCCGCATGCTTGTGAACAGTGACGGACCTACATTTTTGGGGCTTTGAAGTTTGAACTGTTATGGGGGCCCCTTCGCAACCCCTTTTCAAACAGTAGATCCAAAAATTTTAAGCAATGAGGACTAAAGTGGATTCTGGGGCCCCTGAGGGATTAGGGGTCCTGAAGCTTAAGCTGCATTATCTTCACAGCAGATCCACCCCTGCCTGGGAATATTCCCGTCATCTGCTGCGTCTCACCTGATCCTAGTATATAAAACACTTTAAATGATTAAATAGGACTTAAAGTTAACTCTCAGCCTATATATGCACTAAGACAGGTTAGGTTAAGTAAAGTTCGCCAGGAAACAGGACAAGTGTCTCCTGACGCGGGTCTTAGATGATGACCCGCCATTGGAGGTTTTGGTCATCTGACCGAGGCCTTCCACTGGCTTACCGGTCCACACAAGAAAACTACACTCATGAGAATATATATATATATATATATATATATATATATATATATATATATATATATATATATATATATATATATATATATATATATAAATACAAAGTACTTAACACTGGTTGTTATAAATCTTACATAGACTAATCCTTTAAAAAAATATTAATTTCATGGGTATTTTATATATTTTTTCCCCCGAGTGGCGGTGCGCTAATTGCTGACGTCTGTTAAAATGACGTTCATTAAGCAGAGAGTTTTTAGTGTAAGAAATAAATGATAAATGTCTGATTAATTATATAAGTAATGATAAAACATCTGCTAGAATTTTTAAACCACGAACTTTCCTCTGATAAAAATATATTCATTAGCAATCATGTTTTTTCTTTTTAAATTAAATAAGGACCAAATTATTATTGTTATTATTATTATTATTATTATTATTATTATTATTATTATTATTATTATTATTATTATTAGTAGTAGTAGTAGTAGTAGTAGTAGTAGTAGTAGTAGTAGTAGTACTAGTAGTAATAATAGTAGTCTCGTTATTATAATAATTATTATTATTATTATTATTATTATTAAGAGCCCAGACAACGCCTGGGGAATGGGAGTTAATCTCTAACTGCTTGGATGAAGAGCGCTTCACCAAACACTTACACTCCGATAAAGGGTAAAAACCGGGAATAAATAATGTGAATTCTAACAATATTCCTGGCACTATTCCTGGCACTATTCCCTTAACACTGGCAAAAGTGAAGTCACTGGAAGCCATTTATCTCTATTGGGTTAAATTATCTCAGAAAACAGGAAAAAAAACACACCAAAAACTGTCTTTATTTTATAGTCTCTTTGACAGCAGAAAAAAAATGAAATTTACTCTTTTTGAAAACGAAAAAAAATCGTCCATGAATGCCCTAAAAAGAGATATCATAGAAAACAGAAAAATCACTAAATTATCCCCGAACTCTTCTTCGAGTGTCACTGAACACAGAATTAAAAACTAAACAAACCAGGACAATAACACTTAACTACATTTTGATAATGCACATCAGCAATAGCAGCATAAATACGCTGTTGACTGACATAATGGATGGGCTTAGCTTAATTCCCAGCGAAGTGAAATTCCCAAAATAGCACATGGTGCAGCATTGACTGCTTTACAGTTTGCTAGTTTCAAACGATCTGCCGGGATATGTGGCAGATTTTTAATAGCCTAAACTCGTGGAGGGTATTGGCCTTCAATGTAGAATTTGCTGCCGATAATCGCATTGGCGTGCATTACCAAACCATACCACGGGTGGGGAGAGAACCCGCGATCAGAGAGTCAGAAAACTCCAGACCGACGCGCTAGCCATTACCGGCAAGAAAAGCATAAGTAATAGAGATTTTTAGGAAGTTGTACACCTTGAAGGAGGATCCTTGCTCCTTGTCGCGGCAAAGGGGGGGAACTGGACCTCTTATTTCTCTTCGTAGGATCGAATCTAAATATCCATTAACCTTCCCACTCTCTGCGCTGTTTCTTGCTGTGTGTAAATTATCTTAGACATGTGTAACTATTGAAATTATTTGTGTGTTGACAGTCTCTGGCTCGAAATGGCTTGAGGATCCGATTACAATGATGGTTTCTTATCATTTATAAGTTCAGAGGTTGAATAAGGCTGAAGAGGGTTGAGGAGAGTTAACGTGGTGTTAAGGAGGGTTGATGCGCCAGGTTGAGGAAGGTTAAAGAGGATTAGAGATGAGTGAACGGGATGCAGGATACAAGATTTCATCAACAGCGAGAGATAATCACCATATTGAAGCAGGATGCTCCACAACAAGCCCTTGGAAATAAATGGTATAAAATACCGACACAGTGGAAATATAAACACAAATGCAGTATAATGTGATCCTTTATTGACAACGTTTCACCCACACAGTGGGCTTTTTCAAGTCACACACGGATCTACACGGATCCGTGTGTGACTTGAAAAAGCCCACTGTGTGGGTGAAACGTTGTCAATAAAGGATCACATTATACTGCATTTGTGTTTATATTTCCACAACAAGCCCTTACTGAGACAACGTTTCGCTTTCAGTAAAACTATCAGTTATGTGTCGCTCTGGGTATAACTAACAAGTTATGTGTCGTTATGTGTAGAGCTTCATCAAGTCATACTTTGCTCTGTGTAAAGCTTTATAAAGCCATGTATAGCTATATATAGATCATTATCAAGTCGACTCGCTCTATGTAGACCTTTATCAAATTATCTGTCGATTTATGTAGAGCTTCATTGAGTAATGTTTGGATAAATCTCTCTGTGTAGAGCTTATCCAAGCCATGTTTCACTCTAAGTAGAGCTCTGTCAAATCATGACACGATACAGCTCTAAACAGAGAGATACGTTGTTCCAAACAAAAGCGTCTTCCCCAACACTTGTCTTTTCCCCCTCACTGTTTCTTCACTACAAGTGGCCAACTCAAAACGCAAAAGGCTTTTGTGAGTACTGTTTAGTAGCGTCAGCTTGGCAATTAGCGGACGGAGAGTCGAACCTCCAGCACCACACCTATTGCTGAATAAGGGTCTAGCACTTGGCGTAAAGCGTGTGTTGTGTTGTACATTGGGAATAATACGTCCACAGAGGCGTCAGAAGTCGATTTGGTATTAGTATGACAATACCAGTGTTTAAAACGTCGGTTGAGGGGCGTTCTGTCACAAAGGAAACTTTTATTAAAGACGATATTTCGCCACAACTGGGCTTTATGAAGCATACTGTGTGGGCAAAACTGTAAAAAAAATATAGCAGGAGAAATGTGCAGTGGAACGACGTTTCGCCCTAGGGAGTGTTTTTTTACAAGTAAAAACGTTCTCAGAGCGAAGCGTTATCCCAAATAATATCTTGTTCTCCGACTTGTGTCTTTGTGTTGAAATTCCTTGAACACTGAGAGTACGACGAGTCTTCATGAAGATCACGACCTTGTAAACATAACTTGGGTTCAGTGAAAATTTGAGACAAACATGAATTGCTCAGTTTGTCTGAGTCGAGACTCCATGAAAATGTACTTTCAGGACCTGAGTGAGAGTGCAGGTCGATTATAAGGATGGCAATGTCGATAGAAACTCTGGGTTGCCTTTGAGAAAGACCTTCCAAGAATAGGCCAGGTGGCTTGCCGCAGTGTTCCTCCATTCTTATGTTCTTACCACTGAGTCGGGATGGGAGAAGAGGAACTGACTCAGTATACTTTAATATGCTGAGTCAGTGGGGAAAGGAAAGAGGAGCGGAAAGGTAGATTTTTAACGTACCGAGTCATAGGTAAAGAAAAACCAGATTGCAGGCTTGATCCTACTGGGTTATGGGAGAAAAGGGATCCAAAATACACAAATAACCCGCATATAGGTGAATGAAGCTTCTGTCTCTTCTACGTGCGGGTTAGCTGTGTATTGTTCCAGTCACGGTATTGTGCCCTTTTTGAGGATCCCGAAGGGAGGCTGTAGCCTAAGGAGTCAGGGAAAGGGAAGAAAATAGGTCCAAACCAGAAGTAGCAATATTCCTTACCTACGACGTTGAGAAAGGCGAGTAGCTCACAGAAGAAGTATCTATAAGCCCACCAGTTGTGGTGCTTGAGGTTGTCGGCGAGGTAGTCTAGTAGCAGTTTCTTCTTCTGTTTCTTCTCCACCTCGGAGCAGATACCCACGTCCAGATCCATCATCAAGGCGTGGATTTTCCCACCTTCCCAATTTTTCCACATCCACCTCGGCGCATAGAAGCAGATTGCCTGCAAGATTAAAGGGCAGGGACGTCATGCCAGACTGTTGAAGAGGGCGTAGAAGAAGGAACAGCGTGGAAGAACAGAATACAGAAGGTTGTACAGGAAGGGCAAGAGGTAAAGAATAAAGGGAAAAAAATATATATACATATGTCAAAAAGCATAGCTCAGTTGTCAAGTACCTGGGCTGAGTGTCAAGTACCTGGGCTGAGTGTCAAGTACCTGGGCTGAGTGTCAAGTACCTGGGCTGAGTGTCAAGTACCTGGGCTGAGTGTCAAGTACCTGGGCTGAGTGTCAAGTACCTGGGCTGAGTGTCAAGTACCTGGGCTGAGTGTCAAGTACCTGGGCTGAGTGTCAAGTACCTGGGCTGAGTGTCAAGTACCTGGGCTGAGTGTCAAGTACCTGGGCTGAGTGTCAAGTACCTGGGCTGAGTGTCAAGTACCTGGGCTGAGTGTCAAGTACCTGGGCTGAGTGTCAAGTACCTGGGCTGAGTGTCAAGTACCTGGACTGAGTGTCAAGTACCTGGGCTGAGTGTCAAGTACCTGGGCTGAGTGTCAAGTACCTGGACTGAGTGTCAAGTACCTGGGCTGAGTGTCAAGTACCTGGGCTGAATGTCAAATACCTGGGCTGAGAGTCAAGTACCCAGGCTGAGTGTCAAGTACCCAGGCTGAGTGTCAAGTACCCAGGCTGAGTGTCAAGTACCCAGGCTGAGTGTCAAGTACCCAGGCTGAGTGTCAAGTACCCAGGCTGAGTGTCAAGTACCCAGGCTGAGTGTCAAGTATATAATACGCTCACCATCCCACTGACACAAGTATCCCTCAACACGAGAATATGGACAAAAGTCTGTATATAACACCGATCATTGTGATGTACAAGACACGTGTGGTGGCAAGAGTGGGAGTGAAATGGCGAAACTGATCAAGACGTTCATGAAGGCAACGTTTCGCCTCAAGCGGACTGAAGAATCCACTAGTAGCGAAATGTTTCCTTAAAGTCTTGATCAGTGGATATGTGTCTTTTCTCAACACATGTACAGTGTTAATTTTATCAAGGCAACATTCTGTTATAAACGTTTTTTTCAGGCCTATGGGGAAGGCCTATCTGGAAGGCATAAATATGCTAACATTGCATATGTGTCTCATTTCACATAAGAACAGTGAACAAAACACTGAAATCTCATGAATAATGAACAATCAGTGTCTTGGGCCACGAGCGGCCTCGGGAGCCCCTCTTCAGAAGATCATGAAACAAGCACTGCTGATAATGATAACAAAATTTCGTCTCTAGCAGGATATTTCACCTTCAAGAACTAGAAAGATTCTGGATCATTCAAGGTCAAGGCACACTGCAAGTTTTGGATCCCTCAAGGTCATGGTCATTGCAAGGTTTGGGCTCGCACAAATTCATGGTCCACTACAAGCTTGGGTTCACTATCGGTCATGGTCCACTACAGGTTTGGGTTCACAAAAGGCTAGAATCCACTGCAGGTTAGGGCTCACTTTCTCCCAGGGTCTACTAAAGGCTTAGGTTCATTCTACTTCAGGATTAACTGCCTGATTGGATTCACACATGCTCAACTTCCACAAGAGGATTGAATTCACTCAACGGCATAGTCCACCATTATGTCTCAGGATCCATTATATTAAGGTTCATTCTAAGAGAAAGTACACTACAAGGCAGGGTTCTATAATAAGCCAGGGTTCATTTTATACCACGTTCTACTACAGGGAAAGGCTCATCGTAAGCTAAGATTCACTATGGAACACCTGTCACTAAACAGCAACACTAAATCAGGATTCACTAGGGATTACGTACCACTAGGGGTGAGGGATTATAAGGGAAAAGGATTTAGAGTATATGAGAATCCTTCCCTAATTATGTTAAGTAAGGAAGGTTGTGGAGCAGTGTGGGATGGGTGTGGCAGGGGAAAGGGATAGCATGGGATAGTGTGGACAAGGGTTTTGGATCGTGGAATAGACGTTAAACAGGTTTAGGAAAGGGGAAGATGGGTGTGGGATGGGTCTTGGAGACGTGAGGTGGGTGTGTTAGATGTATTGGAAGGTGTTGGATGAGTATATGAGGGCATGAGATGGATGTCATCCACTATGGGTCATTGAATCATGAAGGTCAGGTTGTACTCTAGGCAAAAAGATCCGCTGTGAATCATATTCCACAGAAGGTTCGAGTATCCTCTAGAAATCTAGCATTCTAAAATGAATATTAGGGTGGTAATAAACCTCTCAATGTCCTCTATAGATCTAAATATCACTTATATCACGAACCTCTACAAGTCATAACTCCTTGTAGGATAGAATCCTCTATAGATCAAATAACCATATAAAACCGGTTCCATTATACGTCACATTTCAAGGGTATTATAAGCCACGTTCAGTACAGGACAATGGAAAGGTTCAGTACAGGACAATGGACATTTGGAGAGACGATTAAGATCCAACTGGAGGAAAGCAAAAATACTACTCGAAATAACACAGAGCTACGTTGGGAGACACAGGTGATACTAGAGCACATATGACAATGGTACACAAAACAAGATCACCCATGAGACAAACATATACATGCGGTAGGATATGCAGGATGTAAAGGGTAAAATACGAGCAAACAACTTGACAGATAAATTAGTTATCCCTTCGTGATCAAGACGAAAACAAACAGTGACGGTGAGATAATAAACAGCAGTGATTTCTACAGGAGACTGAGTACGAGTGATTACGATCACGGTAATCACCGTTATGAACAATAATTCAGGTGATAAAGTAACGAAATTACCGAAATTTTAGTAAACGCTTTAAAACGCTGACAAATCAGTAGACTGAAATGACTCCTGACGAGGATCTGAGACACGTTTGTTTTACGTGAAATAATCCCAACGAATAACAGTGAAAAAAAAACGAAATTTAGAGAGCATTCTACAAACTAGAACAGTAAAACACAGTAGAAAATGTAGGTGAACACTAGAGAAGGGTGAACTTTTGAGAAAAGTGCATTTGTGGTGCAGTAAATAACACACAAAATACAACCCTACAACAGTGTAAACAAAAGGAAAAGAACAGCAATGGCTGATGGCTTAGGCAAAGTGAACAATACAAAAGGTAGCATAATAGGAAAACGAACATAAGAGAACAATGAACAGAAAAGAGTAGATAACACTGGTCGAGAACAATTGACAAAATGCTCGCTAAGCCACAATGAACGCCAGTGAACACTGAACAACAAACGAGAACAAAGAAAACAGAACAGTAAACGAGCTGAGCGGGACAAAAGCTCTTTGCTTGCAAATGACTTTCTCATTAAAGCTAAAGCCTGAATAGCTTTATAAATAGAGCTAAAAGAAATTGTGTGTGAGAAGAGTTAGATATGAGTTAGATAAGACTCGCCTAGCATCCGTTATTAGGGACACTGAGGCTAATACGTCCTGCAGTGTGGACCAGTAAATCAGCTACACTATTCCTCATATTTTTGTATCATTTAACATCTCAAGGAGATCGGGAGATCATAAAACCAGAGGAGATATAATCATTGCATAAAAGATACTCAGATTGTCATCCTTATTATACTCATGGGGAAGAACTAAACCTCTAGGGGTTGAACAACGCCTGAAGAACCGGTAATAATCTGCTTTAATTCACAGAAGGAAAGGTGGAACTGGTTCTGATAAAGTTGGTAGAATTACCGACAATATGTAAAGTAAAAGGACACAAGTGCAACTAATTGACATTTATTGTGGCAACGTTTCGCTCTCCAGGAGCTTTATCAAGCCATTACAAACAATACATGGACACATAAGCAAAAATGTATTGTTTGTAATGGCTTGATAAAGCTCCTGGAGAGCGAAACGTTGCCACAATAAATGTCATTAGTTGCACTTGTGTCCTTTTACTTTACGGAACTGGTTCTTTTGATAAAGAACAATGTAATATCAAGATCAAGTACTCAGACATAAAGTTGAAAGAGATGATCTTAATTCTAATGTTCAAATGAACCGGAAGGAACTTGAGAAATATTTACCTCAGGGTAAACTTAGTGAACGTATGGAATTCCTGAGAGATGTGGTGGAACGTCATCTCCGTCCGTGTTACTCAAAATTAGATATGACAGAGTCCAAAATGGCAGGGAAGGATGTTAGAAAACTTTAAATTAGCAGTTAGTGAAGGTGCATAAAATGGGCCCATGGGGCTCAACCCTTGTAACCATAACTAGGTGAGTACAGCCATGTGAATATGTTAGTGTTAGTGCATCACCAGAAAGGGATACACTTCAAGGGTACACTTCAAGGGTACACTTTATTCTAATCCATAAGGCTGGGTACACCGCAAGACATGGTGCACTTCAAGGGTATGCTTCACGGGTATGCTGCAGGGTACACGTCAAGGCAGGGTACACTTCAAGGCAGGGTACACTTCAAGGCAGGGTACACTTCAAGGCAGGGTACACGTCAAGGCAGGGTACACTTCAAGGCAGGGTACACTTCAAGGCAGGGTGCACTTCAAGGCAGGGTACACTTCAAGGCAGGGTACACTTCAAGGCAGGGTACACTTCAAGGCAGGGTACACTTCAAGGCAGGGTACACTTCAAGGCAGGGTACACTTCAAGGCAGGGTGCACTTCAAGGCAGGGTACACTTCAAGGCAGGGTACACTTCAAGGCACGGTACACTTCAGGGCAGGGTACACTTCAAGGCAGGGTACACTTCAAGGCAGGGTGCACTTCAAGGCAGGGTACACTTCAAGGCAGGGTACACTTCAGGGCAGGGTACACTTCAGGGCAGGGTACACTTCAAGGCAGGGTGCACTTCAGGGCAGGGTACACTTCAAGGCAGGGTACACTTCAAGGCAGGGTACACGTCAAGGCAGGGTGCACTTCAAGGCAGGGTACACTTCAAGGCAGGGTACACTTCAAGGCAGGGTACACTTCAAGGCAGGGTGCACTTCAAGGCAGGGTACACTTCAAGGCAGGGTACACTTCAAGGCAGGGTACACTTCAATGCAGGGT